GAATAGTGCGTATTAAAACAAAAATAAGCTTAAGTGAAAATACTTTGTTCTTAAAATTTAGATTTTTCTGAACGTGGTAGGAGAATTACAAAAAAGTAATAAATAATTTTAGTCAGATGTGAAACAATTTAGATTTTGCAAACTACACCAAAAATACTTAAGTGGTTAAATGAATATTAGCTTTAAAATATTCCGGAACTTAAATAACTAATACAATTGTAATGCCCTTTTCTAAGAGCAGTTGTCGGGTGATGTTTTTTCACCTGCAGGTGGCAACCCTCGCTCATTAGGCTTGTCCCGCGCCCGCTTCCGTCTGTCAGTGCGCGCGCCGCACAATGCACCGCACACGTGAGCGGACGAATCGCATACAGATTAAACTTTTTCAAGGTTCCAAAAAACTGTTTAAACAATTTGTCGTTTGTCTGATTACGTTTCTTTTGTATGTGTAATGTATGATAATTAATGTAAAATAAAGAGTACAATAAATTAATAAAGCTTTAACTTCAATTCGGAATTAAATTATATGGTCGAATACGTCTCGGAAATTTTGTCGTAGCACTATAAGCGACAACTTTATTTAAGTGATCGCATTAATATGCACAACAGTACGTAGCACACAGTAGTACGCTTATCTTTGTAAAGTGGGTTAGCAGACATCACAGCGACAGGGGTGTCCCTCGCGAGTGGGACGCGGTCCGCGCGGGGGTTCCCACGCGACACCCCTGGCGATAGCCACTCGTATTGCATGATAATATGATTATACTGATTATACGAGTACAGACGTTATCAATATATGGTGGATTATGAGATATTTTATGACGCTATAAAATTTTGCATCTTTACGGTAGCTACATTAAATTCGGATGAACAATACTTAAAAGTTTCTTACAAAGATTTGTTTGAAACAAAAAGTTTAAGAGTGAATTGTCTCCATTACATTGTAAAAACCAATATCCTAACCGGGACTATAATATGTAAATAAACGTAATTTAATAGGCACAGCCATAGACTATCCCTTTCATTGCCCATATTAAAAAAAAGGATGTAAACTGTATCAAATAGCCGTGGGTAATGGAGATTGTGGCGTGTCATGATCGCTTCCTGTTTGTCCGAGTTTTTGTGTCCTGTGGGAGGCACGGCAGAGGGGGGAGCCAGGTGTCAGCCTCTACCTGGACCTTCGGACTGCGGACTCATGGTTTTTGATTTAAGGGCATGTGAGTTACGTTTTATTGTGCATTTCCGGGGCACGAACATATGCGGTTGTTGCGGTAGGAAGGAACGATTAAGCTGCGCTTTGTGTGTTACTTGTATTCACTTATGATATAATTTGTGTGTTTTTAAATAACTTTTTAACTTTTATTAATGTATATCGCTTGCTTTTTTAACAGAAATCTCATAAATCTAACTCCAGTTGTTCGTCCAATGACCTTTATGCATGCTTCACTGAAAATGCCTGTTAATGTCCGACAAACAAAACCACAAACATAAAGTTAACCGCAACACGTTTCCTCGCATCGCCAATTAAAAGTTTGAAATGACAACATTTCCGGACGACGCTTACATTAGAGTGCAAATAAATAGTATTACTATTAAACATTACATTTCACATTGTAGGTAAAGTTATCGAATAATTTTTATAACTATAAATCTATTCGTTTTATCAAAGTATCAAACACAAGTTATAGCAATTTGTTAAATTTTACATGTAGACATTTATCATTTTGCGGTTAAAAAAGATAATTTCTAAGGACAGGAAAGGCCTTTTTACTCACAGTGCATTTGTTCACAAATTTAATTTGAGGTTTGTATCACAACCGTTACGTTACGGTGTTCTTTTGTTAATTCGTAGGAAACGGAAGCACTTTGCAGTTTGATTGGTGTCCCGGCGCGGAAAATTTACCGTTATCTTACTGGAGAGGATCACTCGCATTATACGCAAGAAACATTGTAAAAAATTGTCAATAGTAAGGCAAGACGTGTCCTAGTTGTAGAAATATCAGATATCTCTTTTCCGTCGTAGTAACAAATTAATTTGTAACTTATTGACTTAATAAACGACACTTTTGTTGACTAATATTTGTGGTACTTTTGACTATAATAAAGTTTATCTCATCGATATCTGTCTGACCGTACAACATCCGCACTACAAACGTGACCTCTCGGTCGTCTGGACCGACGAAATCAATACAAATAAGAAATATTCTTTTCTTTCAATAAAATGATACTTCGAGTAGTTACATAATCAAATAATTATTAATGAACTGTCTGTTACAAAGATTTAAATGTTTCCTTGCATTAAATAGGCTCTGTAACTGAACCTATTTGAAAAGTTCTTTCACTGTTGGGAAGCTATATTATCCCCTGATAGCACAGGCTATATTTATGACCAGTATTTTTGTTTAACTCTGAGCGAATGAAGTTGCAAATAAATATAGAGGTCGTAGTTACCTTTAGCGTGCAGCATCTTGAGATGGTCGACTGTAAGCTGTAGTATCTCCGCTTTCTCTAGCTTGGCGCTGCCTTGCTTCTCGCAGGCTGCGGGTACGAGCCGCTTCAGTTCCGTCAGCGAGGTGTTGATGCGATCGCGTCGTTTCTTCTCGATGACGCCACGCCGGCGCTTGCGGGTCATCAATTGGCAAGACTCGCCGCCCGGGGACCTACGGATGACCAACTCTTTTAGTATCTAGTACATAAATGTTGTACAAGCCGATGGCGAATTTTATGACTTTCATATATATGATACATGATTTAAATAAACAAATAAAAAAAAACAGTTTATGATTTACATTCGCACTTAGTTTAGATCAAGTTTTTTTTTTCTAAAAGAGTAAACGTTTCATACCAATTAACTTCATAAATAAGAAAGTATTATGTGTAGGCAAGCTAAAGTAATATATGTAAAGTAAAATTAGAATGATCTTCACTTCTAAAACAGTATTTTATCTTACAGTTCACAGTTGGCTGCTCGTAAATACGCCTCGTGAATAATGTTCATAGAAAAATGAAACACCTTAAAAGGAATTAGGCTTTTCCATTTATCGAAATAAATAAATTGGAAAAGTTAAATGGATATGAAAGAAAATATTATGAATCCGAATAATAGCAAGCAATAATTTTACGTATTTTAGTTTTTTTAAATGCTTCTTTCTATAGTTTTTCTGCTTAAAAATTATGTTTATTACTTTACACATGCACAGTTTTACTTCATTGCCAATTATATACAATGTTACAAAAACTATATTGCCCCAATGAGTTAAAAAAAGGTCAATGTTGAACAATCCTTGACTCTACGTTCTTCATTAGCGTCGACCGACGGGGTTGTTTATGACAAGGGTACTTTTATAATATAAATTATTTTGTAATAAATATGTTTTAAACATGTAAACAATTATTTAAATCATAAGAATATCTAATCGTTAATACAAAAGAAATATAAAAATATGTGATTTGCTATTTAAAATGTCGAAATAGTGATCGCATAAGTTTTTTCGTAGAGGTGACTACGAGCGTAGCAGCGTAGGCGCAACATTGTCTTACCGCTTATCACTTGTATTTGTCTGATAAGAATCTAATAAGAATCTTGTTCTCGTTAATTATTCATTTATGTTTATAAAGTTGGTAATGATAACTTTTTGAGATAAGAAATAGAAAATACATTAACTAAAGTTTGGGACATTTTTACATTAGAAGGCTTTCGGTGAACTGAAAATAGTGAACTTTTGTTTTCGTGGTACACTTACTGTGCATCCTTGCTGCTCTCCTCGGAGAAGGCGTCATCCTCGCTGTCGGAGTGCGGGCGCTTGGCACGGGGCGCAGGCGCGG